TAAAATAGGACTTTTTTATTGAAATCCACGCTACCTTTCAGTATTCAATATCTACCTAATATATCTACTTTCAATAACTACAATCTACCTATTGTGACAAGTCAAGAGATGAACCTATACCTTAGAAATGTACATACACACTTAAAATTAAATGAATTCACATGTACACAAAAAATGAACAAGTTCAACAGACAAGTAGACCACTAACATGTGTTAAGTCGTAATGAAATTTCTCGAAAAATGAATGCTGATCAGGCTATTGTAAAAGTGAAGACAGCTGCAACGCCTGGACTGTTTAACTTATTCAACGCGTGACCAAAATCTGAAACCTTCACCCAGCTATGGAATTGTCTTTTTATGAAACTAGATAGGTTGACCGTATTTATGCTCTAATTAATAGCAAATAATGTTTTAATACTCACAAGGGCATTATTGTAGGGTTTTAGACCGCTGCTCCACATTGTAATCAGCCGTAAGCGACGAAAGTTTGACAAAGGGACGACCAGGTTGGTGTGTCACAGATTAGACCATTTTTTTTTTTTTGGTTTAACCAAAAAAATTTAAAGTTGAAATTTTCCGGTTTTTAATATTTTTATATAGCCCTTCTACTTACACAAATCAGCCATTTTACAGCATTGTTTTAAAATGTAGATTGCAATACAAATATATAGTAAAAGCTATTAAAGTTGGCCAATAACCAAAAAACTGCTAAAAACCAAATATTTTTCAAGTAAACTAGGTCATAAATTTTTTTTCGTGAAACTAATTTGAAATTTCGTTTTAGCACTTCTAAAGACCCTTAATTNGCGGCGAAAGTTTGACAAAGGGACGACCAGGTTGGTGTGTCACAGATTTAGACCATTTTTTTTTTTTTTTTTGGTTTAACCAAAAAAATTTTAAGTTGAAATTTTCCGGTTTTTAATATTTTTATATAGTCCTTCTAGTTACACAAATCAGCCATTTTACAGCATTTTTTTAAAAATGTAGATTGCAATACAAATATATAGTAAAAGCTATGAAAGTTGGCCAAAAACCAAAAAATTGCTAAAAACCAAATATTTTTCAAGTAAACTAGGTCATAAATTTTTTTTCGTGAAACTAATTTGAAATTTCGTTTTAGCACTTCTAAAGACCCTTAATTATAAATTGTTGTTTGAATTTAAATTTATCTATTTCTTGACCCCTAAAATTTTTCCGTTTTTTAAAGTCGTTCTCGGAATATATGTATATATGTTTGAAACGGCTATAATGCAAAAACGGCTGGAAGGATTTTAATGTCAAACATACCAATTGAAAAAAGAGAAATGTACCTTTTTAACGAAGTATGTACGATAAAAATATATATAAGATTTCTAAAAGAAAATACAATAAATCAGAAAATATTTTTGCTACAAATTAATCATTTCAACGGTCAATTTTGACCATTTCACATACATGGATTAGAAATTAATCTCGTTTTTATATAGAAATAATAGTCCAATTTTAATGTTGGATAAAGTTATAAAATGCACTTGACTTTAAAACGAATTATCAACAATGAAAACCGGTCTCTTAGGTATTGAGAAAAATGATATTACAGTTTGCATTAAGAATGTCAGTCAGGCAAGAAGGTCGTCGAAATTATCCGTCAAAAAAATAATTTACACATTTATTATTGTAAGAGTTGGGTATTAATGAAATTACTTATTCTCAATTGACAACAGAGACTCCTTAACTTTGTTAGCAAGCTAATGTTATAAGTTATTTTAACTAATTAATTTTTTTATGTATGGTATTGGTTGAGATAAAAAAGTCAATGTCACGAGCGGGATTCGAACCTATGACCTTCGGCTAAATACATCGCTACTCTACCACTTGAACTATCGTGACTTCGATCCGCTCGGACACTAACTTCCCATCTTAACCTCACCTCTCGAATTTTCCCTCCTTTTTGCCATTTTTCATTTTTCGTGGGTGCGAATCCCGCTCGTGACATTGACTTTTTTTTATCTCAACCAATACCTTCTATTAATATTAATTAATTGAAAAATGTTAATTGGTCAATCGGACCACGAACTGCAATGATTTAGTTATTTTAACGTTGAATAGTGCAGTCCAGTAATGTTACATTTCAATAAATTTAAATTAAAACAAAAATTTATATTTAATGGTCTCTAGAGGTGCTAAATCGAAACATCTATTAGTTTCTCGAAAAATTTTTTATACTCTAGTTTACTTGAAAAATATTTGGTTTTTAGAAAATCTTTGTTTATTGATATACATATTGATATATAGCGTTTACTTTTTTTTTTGCAATCTACATAAAAAATGCTGTAAAAATGATATATCTGCAAGTTGATTTGAGTAAGGAGAACGGCGAAATAAAAATAATAAAAAACGGAAAATTTCAACTTTCAAATTGCGCATTTTTTTTGGACACGCATACGTGTCCGATATTTTGGAGTGGAGATTCACCGAAAAAGGTTTGGTCCAAATCCGTGATACACCATCCTGATCGCCCCCTTGAGGTATGCAAACCCGCAACTCAATGTACTTAATCTAATCCCTTTGGCGTGATTCCGCTGTTGAAAAATTGAGTTGTTGAATTATTTAGAATTTTCGTATTCTATTTCATTTGAAAAACCTATTTTGTTGAGTTTTTATTCACCAATGGGTGATGAGAAAAAATATTTCCATGCTGAAAACAAAAGAAGAAAAACCCGTTGTTTTAGATAAGAACAATTTATTTTTTCACTAGTATTTATAGTTATCCATGTTTTTAATTTGTACAAAAGAATTTAAAAAGAGACAAAAATTAATTAAAAACAAAAATAATAATAACAATAAAATTATATATTTACAATTTTTTCACCCATTTGTATAGTATAAAATTAAGAAAGAATTTAAATAAAATAATTTAAAAACAAAACTATTTACAATAAAAATAATAAATATTAAAATATTTTTATTACTTACATGGTTTAAAATTTTTGGTTTTGTGAAATTCAAAAAACCGTGTTGGAATGCATAACTTATCGCTGCACCTCCTGGAGTATGTGTTTATATCTAAATGGTCCCGGCTGTTGTGATTCTGGAAAAATATTATGGTTATTGCACATTGTAGGAAAATAAAAATATGAATTATAATTTCATAAACAGAAACAGTTGATGAATTTTGTAAAATGATATTTTACCTGGGTCATCTTTCCTTCCATTACGTGAAAACGGAGGTAAATTTTAATTAGTCACGTATTAAGTAAGTAGTTAAATTAGTCATGTAATATTTAAGTAAGTAAATTTTAATTATATTGCTTCTATAATTATATACCCTGTCAAAGTTGGTTTCCAGCAAAACTGGAGGCAAAATAGGTTAGTAAAAAAAAAATCTTTCGTGTAGAAAAGAAATGAAGTAATTTTTTTCATTTCTATAATTATGAACTTCATCAAAGTTTACTTCCAACAAAACTGTTGACAAAATAGGTAAGTTAAAAAAACATCTTTCATGTAGAAGAGAAGCAGTCATTTTTTTCACTTCTATAATTATGTACTTCATCAATGTTGGTTTCCAACAAAACTGGAGGCAAAATAGATAAGTTAAAAAAAATCTTTCATGTAGAAGAGAAGCAGTCATTTTTTTCACTTCTATAATTATGTACTTCATCAATGTTGGTTTTCAACAAAACTGGAGGCAAAATAGGTAAGTTAAAAAACTTTCATGTAGAAGAGAAGCAAAGTAATTTTTTTCACTTCTATAATTATGTACTTCATTAATATTGGTTTCCAATAAAACTGTTGGCAAAATAGTTATGTTAAAAAAACTTTCATGTAGAAGAGAAAAAAAGTATTTTTTTTTGCTTCTAAAATTTTGTAACTTCATTAATGTTGGTTTCCAACAAAACTGTTGGTAAAATAGTTAAGTTAAAAAAACTTTCATGTAGAAGAGAAACAAAGTAATTTTTTTTGCTTCTAAAATTTTGTAACTTTATCAAAGCTGGTTTCCAACAAAACTGGAGGCAAAANAATCCTGCATTATTTTCCGGACAACCCAATATAATTATGAACTTCACTAAAGTTTGCTTCCAACAAAACTGGAGGCAAAATAGGTAAGTTTAAAAAATCTTTCATGTAGAAGAGCAGTCATTTTTTTTGCTTCTATAATTATGTACTTCATCAATGTTGGTTTCCAACATAACTCTAGGCAAAATAGGTAAGTTAAAAAAATCTTTCATGTAAAAGAGAAACAAAGTATTTTTTTTGCTTCTAAAATGTTGTACTTCATCAAAGTTGGTTTCCAACAAAACTGTTGGCAAAATAGGTAGTTTAAAAAAAATCTTTCATGTAGAAGAGAATAGCTTCTATAATTATGAACTTCATTAATGTTGGTTTCCAACAAATCTGGAGACAAAATCAGTAAGTTAAAAAAAATCTCATGTAGAAGAGAAATAAAGTTTTTTTTCTAGTTACTAAAGCATAAAAAAATATATACAAACTGAGAAACCTAATTTTTAACTTTAGAAGATATTAGTTAGATTAAAGGTCAAACTTACCTAACAAAAAGTGGTGTAGAAAGTTGATATGCGTTTGTAGTGCTAACTAACGGTTTAAGGATAGAAACCTGGCAATGAAGCCCACAATACTTTTCTAACTAAAATTAAGAAAAAAGCAACTTTGACATCTCAGAGAGGGAACTTATTTAGTTATGGATGATCCTCAGTCTATACTACTAGACAGTTCTAAGAAGGCCAGCCAAGAAATACACAACACAATGACTTTTAGCTGAACACAGCTAAATTTACAACTGACCCAGGGCATTAACACCATTTAAAAAATCATATAATAAATTATAATTTAAATTAATTTTATTTCTACACTATTTTTAAGCTTTTCCATGAGCTGGGTTCAAATAGGTGAATGCTAAAAATAAAAATGACACTTTTGAATAACTCGGTAATGATTTCATTTTAACGATTAAACAATTTATTGAGTTTTACAAAAAAACTAGTGTTAAGGAAAATATTAAATTAAAGCCAAATAATTCCATATAATAGTTACAAATTTATTAAACTTTTCAAATTTATTTATAAAACTCGTGTTCTGATTCATCCTTCTTAATATTATTTTTGTATCCCTTTTCGAAGTCTTTAGCAAGTACAATGTATCGGTTTTCTCTAACAGCATGCATTCCAGCCTGAAAATAAAGGTTTATTAATATTTTGGCAAATAAAAGAAAAAACCATAGTTAAAAGTAACCTCTTGGCAGATGGCATTAATATCAGCTCCAGATATGCGGTCTGGTCTTGCAACATAATCTTCAAGATCAACTTCCTCACTAAGATTCATTTTAGCAGTTATGGTCGAGAATACTAATCTCTTTTGCCTCCTGTCCGGGAGAGGAAATTCAATTTTCCTGTCAAGCCTACCTGGCCTTAGGAGAGCAGGATCAAGAGTATCAGCCCTGTTTGTAGCCATTATGACCTAAAAAATAATAATTATAAAAATTATAGGGAGGAAAAAACAGCATAAAAATTATAAATCATAAAATAGTACTTTGACGTTAGTGGTCTGGTCGAAACCATCCATTTGATTAAGAAGTTCCAAAAGAATCCTTTGAACCTCTCTATCTGCACCAGTTTGCGCGTCAAACCGCTTTGTGGCAATAGCGTCTATTTCATCAATGAATATAATGGCTGGAGCATTCTCTTTAGCCAGCCTAAACACATCTCTTACCATTCTTGGCCCTTCCCCTAGGTATTTCTGAACGAATTCAGATCCAACAACACGGATAAAAGCAGCTGGAAAAATAGAATGAAAATATTAAGAAAAAATCCTTTTATTTGATTTGAGCAAAGGTACCTGTTGTATGGTGAGCTACAGCTTTCGCAAGCATTGTCTTCCCGCATCCAGGTGGACCATACATAAGAACGCCTCTAGGAGGATCAATACCAATTTGACGATAAAGTTCAAAATGTGTTAAAGGTAGCTCGACGGCCTCTCGAATTTCCTGTTTTTGCATGTCCATTCCACCAATATCAGCATATTGAACGTCTGGTTTCTCATCTTTACAAAATCAAAGGAAAAAAATGAACAAAGTTTAAACTTTATTAACGGTAAACAAATACAATACCTGCTTGAAGCATAGAAATAGACGAATCGGCTTCAGGTGGGAGAACGTCAACAAGGGCATTACTGTGTTTATGCAAAGCAACACTTGCTGATGGTTTAAGTAGCTCTCGATCAATTGTTGATAAGATTCTTACATAATAGTTCGATCCTGAAATTCAATAAACAATCAAAAGATATACAACGACATTTTTCATTTATAAACAAACCAGTAGTGCTTCCGACTATGCCAGTATTTTGATCTACAGCCTCTAAAAACTGTCCAATTACAAGCGGAACACTCTGGATCCTCTTTACTTCCTCTTGAGCATGAAGATATTCTTTTTTAAGATTCCTCTGTTCATCTTTAATATATTCTTCTTGCACTGCTAAAAATTCCAACTGCCTCTGGAGTTTCTGAGAAAAAAAAAATTAAAAATTGATACGTGGAATTTAGTTCTCATATAAAATGAACTATTATTTACATTCAGTTTATTGGTATTTAATTTTAATTATCTTTATTTTAACTTTTTATAGTGGATTAAACGATGCAAAGAGAGATTTCAAAACAGTTGTTGGTTGGGATGGTGTCTTGGGGGACCAAACGTTACACAGTTGCAATGAATAAACAGTACAAAATGATTAGAAATGAACAATATGCAGGTTCGTTATCACCCAGGCCTTAGGAAAAAATCTCTGAACAATAGTTGAAATATCACACCATGGATGGAAAAAGAAAACATTTTTAAGTTAATAACATCCGAAATGATTTTTCCAAAATCATTTAAACAGTGCAACATTTGTTCTGCACAGTCCCAACACTAAGCTGGTGTGACAACCAATGAACCACGGCGTGATATAATCGTTGAAAGTTAATTTCAGAAAACATAGTTTTATAAATCATTGATCACACTAAAAATTAGAGAGAATCGAATAACTCTGTACTGGATAGTATCCTGATGCTAAAAAAGGCAAGGGATTGTGTAAATTGATTTTGAATTGTTTCTGACATGCTGGATTCAGGATTGACAGTCTTTCCATCTCTCAAATTCAAGAAGTTAGTGAAGAATCACTTTAAGGCTGGATGCAAGCTTTGCTAAGTGAGCAGGATGTTCTAGTCTTGAATCTTAAAACTCATAGGAATATAACGGATGAAGAAATTATTGCAGGAACAAGTGCAGAAATTTCTGGCAGGGAAAATAATGTTGATGAGAATGCCAGTTAAGAAGTTTCCGATAAATTGTCTTGCCCAAGTGTAATACGTTTACAGCGGTGAACATTGTTAATAAATTTTTGGTTTGTAATACTGATTTGGCGAAGGAGTTGAATGAAAATACTGCTAAAAAACTCATCACAAAAACCAAACATGCTTTAAATTTACAAAACAAGAAAGTAACATTACTATTTTTCAGTAAACCAATTAATTTTATTATTTCTATGTACGTATATAATTTTGTGTTTGCCCATTTTGTTACACAATAATATATGCTTTTTTATTTTTTAAAGTTTGTAAACCTTCATCTCAAATTTAATGTAAGATGTGAAAAAATGAATTTATACAATGATAGAAATTTTAGACTCAATCAAGGTATTAATTTAATAGTAGTATTTAATATCAAGGTACTCACTCAAAATGTTTGTTTTCTTAATAGAAATGATAAATGATGGAGTGAGTGTGGTGTTCAATACTTTTTAAAAGGATAGTTCCTACTCACAGTAACTCACTTTACTGTGAGTAGGAACTATCCTTTTAAAAAGTATTGTGTTTGTTTTCTGTGTGTCGTGTTGAGAGTGCCAATGAGATATTGATGTTTCATGTTTATACATTGGATTTTGAAGGGGTGGGGAAGGAAGTTGGGATAGAAAATCATATTTATATGAGTCAGCTTCTTTGAGGTGAAAGGAGCCGACAAAGGGAAAAAATGGGTAATGGTTCGGCCAGATTATCCTTACAGGATTATATAGACAGGGTTAATTAGGGAAAGTTAAGACAAATTGTTGAAGAATTAGACTATGTAAAAATATTTGATGTGTGGAATTTAATGATTGTTTTGTATGCTATATGTATGTTATTGATAATGAATTTTATTAATGATATAGCAGCAACGACTGAGTTTGCATGTGTCCATTCTGTAACTGATGCTATGTTTCTCTCATTTCTAAAAAGTTACTGTTATGTTTGTTTTGTTCTGTATGTAATATTTTTGGACTGTTGAAGTCAAAATCATGTCAGGGTAATGGTGGGTAGCCAGTGCTCAATAAAGATCGAAACGGCACGATAAAGAAAATATTTTTCTAAATCTACATTACACCAGACTGCATTTCACAATCTTTAAATAATCATTAATTAACGGTCACTAAACACCACACATCCCTGCATTAATTTTGCATCACCATAATAGCACACCGGTTAGTCCTAGTTCACCAAGGAACTTGATTATTAGGGCTAATTTCAGTGCTTAAATTTTTTTCTACTGTTATGTTGTACATCCCAATTGAGGGCAAGTGTGGCTGTTTGTTAAAAGGTGTTAGTGTCACCTCTGCTTCTTTGAACAATATGCTTGTGTCATGTTGTGTTATATCAACTAGATGATTCAGTGTCCTGCTAATCCTATCAGGATCCAAAGTTGTTTCCTGCTTCTTTGATGCAGCCTGTTTAGTGAACACTAAAATCCATGGGTAAAAAGTGATAGCGATTTTCACAACCCAAATCACCAATTTTGCCTCAAATCAACTCTAAACTGTTCTCACAAGGCAAATATTATATTTAATATGTACTACCCAGCCTTGTTAAAATTCAAGATCTGTGCACAAATGCATGCTAAGAGATGAGATATGAAACAGCCATTGTGGTAAAATCTTATGATGAAGCCAAGAATGACATCAGTTATAATGCAACGTTCTTTCGTACATGTCAAGCCTAAAAGCTATAAAAAAATAAAGTTGACGTGAATTACTTTAAACTTGGTAAACAAATCGTGTGTCTCGTTGTCGTCAGTTAAGCTGGGGCCCAATATTGTTGTGAGTTTAGCATCTTGGCTGTTCTCCTCCTACGATAGAAAAAAAATCAGTACGAGCTTTGGACTAGCATGGCTAGGTGAATAACCTAGATCATTATATTTGTACATAATAAAAATAATGTTTTTTTTGTGTCGTTTTTCCCGTTGGAAAACAGCTAAACTTGCCTTATCGGGTAAAATAATACCAATTTCTTCCATAGTTGCGAGAAACCTCTTCAAAAAAGCAATGTCACTCAACAGGGAACAAGCACAAACACAAGATTACCTTTAACGACACCAGAGCCCGTCCAATAGACCAGGTTTGTTCTATGAAAATGTTTATCACTACATTTTTTCTCTCAAATGTTTTTAATTACACCTTCATAAATTCTCAATTTAACCATTCAACAAAACTACTTGTACAAACTTTATGACTAACTTTTTTAAATAAAACATTACATACTGTACGCTATCTAAATTATTCTTTATTCAAACATGATTTAATCGACAATTATTTTATATTTAACTTATATAATTTATTATTGCGTATAAAAGACGCAAAAACATATGATAAATAATAATAATTGTTTGTATGACACAGTAGGTAAAATTTTTGAATTTTTGGAGGGGGCGCTATGAAATATGTATATGGTTCATCACTCATCAGACCACATGGAGAAATATCACAATATATTGTATTAAATGTTTTTCATTAAGAAAATAACATGTTTTATCATTTACATATGTTTATGCGTTTTAAGTCCTCATTGTCATTAATTATTAAATTCAATCGAGTGTTGGAATCGATACCGATATAACGGTTTCACACAACGGTCGTATTTCCCGCTCGTACAGGTACGAGAACAAGTAACAACCAGTGTCTGAGCGTCGCCCGCTGTTTACCACTTAAACGAATTTTCATGTCGGTTTTAGTGGTTTTACTTTAAGAAAAAAAGAAAAATGAATAACAAGGATAAAAGGCCGCCTTTCGTCTCGTACGTTCGAGTCCGTCACACAGGTTTGTAGATCAAAGTTATTTTCATTTTGAACCGCTTTTTACATTGGGACTGCATTGGGTGTAGTTTCCTTATCAGGACCTTTGTCCCTTCGTTTTGTGTTTTATCCTCTTATATAGAATAATTTATACCAGATGTTTTCAGTTATTGTTTCTATAATTTTATTGAACCAGGATCTCTTTGCTACAGGGTTTATTTATTTTAGTACATTACAGGGGTCATATATGTTTCCCATTGAATTTAGGCCCTATCACAATTAGATTCTCAAGTTACGAGCGATTCACCTCTGCTCACGGTAGATCGTGTGAACACCGTGAGGTTCAGTGTAGTAACCACCAAATCCACAGACTAATCAATACAGATAAGCCTTCTCTTGCTTGCCTCTTACGAAGAGGTGGGTCAACATTGTGTATTTAACCGTGTGCTGCACATAAATGGATACTTGAAAGGGTTGAAATGCATCAGCCGGTCTCCCAACATGTTCACATAGACAACTCTATCCCCCGAGTGTAGGGGCTCTGTTGTTGCAACTACTGGATCCACTCTGGCTGTGGTTTAGTTTAAAGTGGAATTTCTAACCATCTCCTAGAGGACCTGTCGTTGGGTAAACCATACAGGCACCACCGAACAGGCTCTTCTCTAAGTACTTGCCAGGAGCCTCACCATTAAGCCACTACAAGTCAATTCCCATACAGCTGGACTGGAATGATTTTTCGCTGCACCGTCTACACAGACAGAATTGGGGACCTTAACCCCCATGTGTCTCTGACCCGCTGGCCGTGGCCAGCTTGCAAGCCAACAACTCCCTTAACACATTTCGTGGGACAGGGTAGGCGTCTTTGCATCCTCACATGCTATATGCATCCTTCGTCCTATCTTCCAAATGTATGCAGAGGTCCTTAAGGAGATCGTACGCGCCAGGAAACACAAATACAGCCTGTACTTTAGAGTGTGCCACGTTCTCAAGGCTACACCATTATTTTGGGCCTGGAAATCCTCCTTGCAATCAAGGGTTGGGAAGGATCTGTTGGAGTCTCCTTGAAGCACTCACTGCATAGTCTTGGGAATTGGATTGAGAGAAAAGGACATGCCGAGGCCCAACCAAGCTCATATTTGCAGGATATACCCAACCAAGATTTACCACTCATTGTTACCGTGGTCCTACATTACAGGGTGATGACCCCCTAACCTGTACGGTCATACATATTACATCTAAAATTAAAAAATACAAATCAACTGCTTAAAAAAAAAAAAATAAATAAAAATAATAATCCAATTAATTAAGGTTTTTAATTGAAATAAAAAAGTCAGTGTCAAGAGCGGGATTCGAACCCACGACCTTCAGCTAGATACACCGCTGCTCTACCACTTGAGCTATCGTGACCTCAATCCACTCGGACACTAACTTTCCATCTCCTCAACCCCACCTTTTTGAATTTTCCTTCCTTTTTGCCATTTTTTATCTTAACTAAAAACCTTAATTAATTGAATGATATTAATTGGTCAAGCAGACCACGAAAACTAGTAAAAATAATAATAATGAAATTTTGATTTTTTTAAATTTGGCAATGTTTTGGCCATAGTTGTTGTTTTACTACTTTCAAAATTATTTAGTCATTACGATTAGATAGATGGAAATCATTTGCTTTTGTCGCCAATAGTGAGGCAAAACCTCTTAATACATAATTTGATTTAAAATCTCCACAATTTAAATCATCATCAAGGGCATTTAATTTAATTTAATTTTAAAAATGTCTTTATTCACTATTGTATTGGTGGTGTAAAACTATTACAACAGTGTTCATAATCAGCAAGCAAGTTGCACTTGAGGATGAAAAAATGAGCGTAAAGGTATGCTAAATTGCTGGTAAGGATGCAGGATTGCTGTTTAAAAAAAATCCTCTTGTGCAAAATTGCACAACTTAATAATATATTTATGGAAAGCCATTTTTTGGTACAATTAACATATTTTTACAGAACACAATGAATTATAAAATAAATCCAACTGAACATTATTAGCATCTGTGCGTATTCTGAGCATCGGAGTTGGCCATGTAGTTTTTTTTAAAATAGGAACTTGAAACAAATTTGTATATCTTTTTTCCCCCAGTATATTCAATTTAATTCCTTCTGAAAGTTGCGACAACATAGTAGATTATTTATCAATGTGATACAAACTAACGTCGCCAACTTTTCTATGCTTTTCTAGTGTACATAAGTTCATCAACAACCTAAAGTCATTATCAGAAATAGATTCCAAATTTAGGCCGAGCTTGAAAGCTCCATACCTGAGGAGGGAATATGTTTTGCACACTTTCAATTCTCTGAAATAGAGACTAGTTAAAAATTATACCAAGGGCCTTAACACTATTTAAAACCAACAATTCAGTATCATTTTATACTTTTAACTAATGGGATTTGATTTTTTATGATAATACACAATTTTACAGTTTTCAATATTTAGGGACATGTCATTTATATCACACCAATTGACTAGATTTGAAAACTCTTGCTGAAGCATATCACAATTATTACCAACTAAAAATTTTTTAAGTCGTCTGCAAAGAACCTGAACTCACCAAATTCAAAAACTAACAAACTGTATCAAACTTTTATCTATAGACAAATTTCTCAGTTGTCTATAGAAAAATCGGGAACAAATTGCTTATAGGTGGGTTTTGGTCTGCGGACCCAATAATATGTAAACCGTACTCGGACAAAGTCACAGACAGTTCCTCATGAAGGTGGTGCATTGCTGAAACGTGTTTGAATAACTCGAACAAAAAATCTGCGAATAGAGACAGACCTAGTAAGTGGCCATATGCTGGTTCAACATGAACAAATTGCTTGTTCTGCAACTATCCGTAGACAAAAATTGCAAGTCTATGGCCTCCCAGCTTGGTGGAAAATTTGAGACATGTTGCGCAGCATTTGCCTCAGAGAGACTATAATGGTTGCTCTGAATCTTGTTTCTTGCTTGCGTATTTTATTTCCAACCGTAAGAAGCAAATTTTCGAAAATCGGTGGTGGTTTACTTTCAAAATCAGTTCAAATTACTGAGTGAAATTTCTGAAATCTGAATTACCTGTATTCACATCCTCCTGATACACCTGTAACATAGGGAAAGGAAACTTCCAAGTAAATGTAAAAAAAAAAAAAAAACATGGTTGAGAGCTTACCAGGGGCAATGATTTACATTTTGTGGGTGGGCTCTCGGCTTCCTTGAGGCACAACAACAAACTTGTTTATATTTTACTTGTTAAAACTTTTTGGTTAGTCTATTTATCTGTTTATTTAAGGATTTGATGATAGTTATTTATCTATTATTTTACCTGCAAAATTATTGGATGACAAAGGCAAAGCAGAGAAAAAATTCACAGACATGCTGAAAAGATATACTTTTTAACAGGGTTGTCTCCATACAAAAGCAATTTGGGGATGAAAGTGAAGAACACCAAAATAACATCGAAGACGGAGCCTCTTAGTAATAAAAATGTTGAACTTCCAAATAAATTTACAATCCAGAAACCGACCAAAAAGGTTTGTCAAACAAATATGAAAATAATCTCATTGATTTCAAATATGTTTGTGTTTTGAGGACCCTCTTCAGAGAAAAAAGGGAAAAGAAAATGATCAACAGGTACAGTTCAGTGATATACAAACTTAGTTAATATTTATTTTACATATTTGTATTTTTCTTTATTAGGTTCCAGATTTGGGCAGCAATAAAGTACAAAAAACAGCCCAGGAGGTAAGTTCAGATAACAATATTAATTGTAATTTGTATGTTCATAATTTATTCTTACTACAATTTTTAACAAACATTTGATCTCAATTATTGATTTTTGTAGGTTTTAAAACAACGGAATCCAAAAAATGAATGTAAACTGTCTGCAATAGTCACACCTTTTTTACAAAGAGATAATAGCAATTTATTAGAAAATCTACCCTCAGATGAAAATCCTACTCCTACACCAAGTTCTGAGGAAGAAACGACCCCGAACGCACTTTATGAATTTAGAACAAAGCCAAATTCAGTAGAATATTGTCAAGATTCCAGTCAGATCTTTTATTCCCAAACTCCGACTTCTGAGGCGTCAGGAGATTGTATTTCACATAACTTGGATACACAAGATGGGAATAATTCTGATACGAATGAAGGAGAAGTTATTTTGGGCACTTCTTTTATTCACGAAAACAATGACTGCTTAAATGCAAATACAACTTGTTCTGTCGAACCGGAATGCCAATCTTACTCAAGTTCAAATAATGTGACTTCTAATGATATAGATCCCAGCTCAGAAGTACATGAGAAAAATGCAAATGCAGGTATAAAACAAAAAACAATTTTTTAGGCTCAAATTTTGGAAAATAAATTTTTTTGAACCACATTGGTAAACTATAAAACAATTTCTTTTTATAGAAGTCGGTGAGCAAGATAGTGTAGAATCATTTCATCGGTAAAAATAATAAACGTTAGACATTCATTACATGAAGATAACTTTCTTTTTACAATTGCAGAACAAGGTTGAATTCAGAAATAGAAAGACTCTCAGAAAAAGCAAATACTTGGGAACGTTTACAGGAAAATGTCAACCTGCCAATTTCTGTATTGGATGAGGTAGACTCGACTGTCGGACAGACGAGGCTTCTATTGAGATCTAAGTTCAAGCAATTTGAAAATTTGATCAACACATACAGTACAGGGTGCCTCAGACCTGAGGATTTAGTCGGCTTTTGGGAAATGATGTATCTGCAGGTAATGTGGATTATTTGAGTCCTTTTTAAGCCTTATTTATCGATTTTCCTCTAATGATGTTCAACTAGGTAACTCAACTGGATGATAAATTTTCCAAATTGGAACAGTTGGAAAAAAATAACTGGCTTGAGAATGAAGAAAATTGTAAACAGACTAGAAAGAGAAGTAAAAGAGGAGGTAGAAAAAGGAAGAACAAATTCAACCATATTCAATCCAGATTTCGACAGGCAAAAGGTATTAGTTTATAGATTATTATTTTGATCATTTTTATTAAACATATTTCTCATTTTTTAAGCTCTACAAGAAATGAAAATTAACGAGGAACTAGATGAGTTTGAAAGTGTGAAAAACGATAATGGAAATATAGTTATTCAAACACCAAGCAAAGGTAAAAAAATAAATTTAACCATTTAGTGAATAAGCAAACCTTAAACAGAAAACACAGCCAAAGGAAAATATATTGCACACAGACCCTCGACTTTGGAATTGGCGAGCAGCCAAAACAAATTTGATAGATGGATCCAGTGAGAATAAGCTGACAGAATGAATGGCAAAGACCAAATTACAAATAAAACATTATTTGTAATTTTTTATTATGTGTTGAAAATACAAAATCTACACTTCCAGTTTCTTCCCTCGGTCTCTTTACTCTAGGCTCTAGGGTGACCCTTGTTCTTTGGGGTTGGCGAAAATGGGGGGAGGGATTTTTGATTGTTTACTCTTGAAACAATATTACACATGAATCAATAAAGGCTTGATTTAATATATATTTTTAAACTTTTAGCACACCAGGAAGAAAAATTTGATGGCGAAATTGAAAGTATACTTAGGACTGAAGGTAGGTAATATATTTATCCGTTAAAGTAAAATTTTTTAAAATTTTCTTTTCTACCACAGGTATCAAAACTCCTTTAATCAACAAGAATATAATGGCTGCCAAACTGTCTAGGCGCTCCTCAACAGGAATTATTATTAGGCAGTCATTATTAGGAAAATTATTATAAAACATATTTTCCCTTTTATTTTATTTTTAATCACTTTATTTTAAGATAATTAAAAAAAAAAACTTTTAACAAGAAAAAAAGATGCATGTACATCAGTTTTTTTAATTCTAAGTTTTATATGTATACAAAAATAAATTATAATTCTTGTATAATGTAGTTGATACTCTGTATGGAAGATTATTATCCAGCATTTCAAACTCTTTTCCATATTGTCTACAATCAACATTTTGTTTTATGACAATAGTATATAATACTAAAATAAATTTATTTAATAAAAAAAAGTGTGAAATCCATATATAACAGCTATGCAAGCAGAAATGTTTTTATCTGTTTTCAAGGTTGTCTGTTAAGGATGAGTACGCCAGTACATCATATGAGTCTAATGCAGAATTCATAGCTAGTTTTGGCAGTACTGTTGGTTTTGCACTAGACAGACGCCTACATAAATTTCAGGCAATAGTTCAGGGCCATCACAATTTGTTGTTATTCAACCTTCTGCTTATTATTTTATGTATGTTTGTCATTTCATGATAATCAGTGAGATGTAACTGTAGCACTTGACAGTACAACTGGTGCATCCACACGATGCCCCTGTTGTCAAAAATTGCCTTTTGCGTCTTTTTATCTCTTTTGGATTAGATCAAAAGAAACAATGAAGTACTAATGATATCCCTAGATGTGAAAGGGAGCATTTGATACTTCCTTTTGACCTGGTATACAAAGAGAACTTAAAAGTATCAGAAATTTATATGTACTTGCATAAACTTATTTTGAAGAAAAGCACCATTACAAATGCTTCTGCAACAAGAAGAAAGTTAGCCAAAGGCTGTCCTCAGGAATCGTGTTGTGGCTCTGCGTTTTGGAATTTGTTGTTCAATTCGTTGCTCAAAATTATTAAATAAAAGAATTACCATCCACATTGAAATTATTGCTTTTCCCATTGATCTTGTCAGGTTAAAAACAAAAAAATGATTTAGAATTTATAAGAAATGTGGCACTTAAAGACATTGACATCAGGGCATGGAAAAATAAAGTTATATTTAACATCTTTCAATTAATTAAGGTTTTTAGTTGAGATAAAAAAGTCAGTGTCACGAATGGGATTCGAACCCATGACCTTCGGCTAGATACACCATTGCTCTACCACTTGAGCTATCATGACCTTGATCCACTCGGACAGCAACTTCCCAAATCAAGTTAGACCACGAAAACTAATGAATTTAATAAGTTAAATGAAGTATACCTTCACTAAAGCTCTCTGTGGCCATTTCCAGTTGTTGCCGAGAATCAAATTGATTACACGACATTTGAAAAATGGCAAAAAGGAGGGACAATTCGAGAGGTGAGGTTGAGATGGGAAGTTAGTGTCCGAGTGGATCGAGTTCATGATAGCTCAAGTGGTAGAGCAGCGGCGTATCTAGCCAAAGATCGTGGATTCGAATCCCGCTCGTCACATTATCTTTTTTTTAATACTTCTTATTAAATGCCATTAAAAAAAAGTCTTTAAAAGATAAAAATAATACTAAAATGTTTATTTTCTACTTCTGAGTTTTTAATTTGTGTAAAACCAGATGTTCTTGTAAAATATAATAATTGCAAGACATTGGAATTTTTTTGATGGGGAGGGTATAACATATCGACCTATTATATATATTGTGTTGTAAGAAAGCCAAGGAATTTGATAAAACAATAAATAATACATCAAAGGTATTAAGTTTTATTTAATAAATAAATTACAGTAATTAAAATATTGATAATAACACTCTTATATTGGACATTACTAGTGGACATGTTATTTGCATCAAGATCTCCCTCATTTTTTCATAAATTTTAACAAATAAATACACATACAGTTTCTTCTATTCAAATCTTTATGAATCATAATTTGAAAAAAGAAAAAGATTTTCTATAGTACTTATAGGGCTAGAAAGTATAAATCTGTAGTGATCAGGGAAACTTCACACATTTATTCTTTTTTTTTTTTTAATTTTAATATTTCTTTTAATAATTATTCATTATGTATATTCAGATAAATAATCTATCGTGTACTCTATAATTGTATATATATCATGTCTATACATGTATTATTAAACTAATGTAGTTTAGAAATAGTGGTACATGAAATTAGCATTTTTCCTCTAATCTATGAGACTATTTATAGCAAAAATGCAAAATTAAAAATTGTTACAAATACAAACTCATTATATATATAAAACATTATTAAGAATGTTCAGATATTCATAAAAGTTTTGTTCTGCCTTGTTTGCCTCTTTTGGAATGCTTTATAATTTTTTTGTTATTAAAAGGAATAATATGTAATTTATTATAAAATTTACATTTAAACTTAACTTGTCTGCCCTCAAGCATTTTACTTTTGACAAGATAATTTATACTATATGTTTTACATTTATATCGTACAACATAAATTATTAATAGCAGCAGTTGGTAAATTTACATATGCATGCTTCTAACATAAAGAAGATATTCTTAAGCTACATCAATTAAAGCAACAGTCACATACAACATTGGTATTACTAGACGATAATGTCTTACATGTAAAATTTTTTTAACACATCTTTGAACTTTACAATATTTTTAATTATATTAATTATTATCTCAATTTTGTTGTATAAAATAAAAGCTGGATAGAGGAACCGACATAAGAGTGTTGAAAGCAAAAATTTCCTGTACAAATATAAGAACTACTCTTCATTTTTAAGATTTACGTTTAGTCTTAGGTTTAAAAGGTTTTTTTATATATAAATATTTTTATGTACCGTTTGTAGTAGAGGATACATTGAATTGTGCGAAGTGTGCAGCTCACAAGAAAAAATATCTTCTTTACACACACTTATTGATAAAATTTTTCCAAAAGAATTAGTGTCAACAGGTTGTTCAAACAAAAATGCAAATAGTTAAATCGTTTAAAGCCGACCAGTGTAAAGACTGCAGTATTAACAACCTCAATTCAAGGTGCTACGAATTATTTAAATAATTTTTATAATACTGAAAACCTCATTTATGTAGCGAAATCACAATATGTTTAAAGTGGTTTTTATATTAAAAGTCAGAAGTTGATACATTCTATGATACATTATATACATATATGTATATTTTATTTGTATACATATATATATACCATTATCTTCTTAAATTGGAATTACATTTACGCACACTAAATTTTATTTAACTTGTGAGGAGAGGGTTACACGCAACTAATACAGTAAGCCATTATAATTAAAAAAATATATTATTAAAAGAACTGAGAAAAGTTATTTCAACGAAAATATGGCACAAAGACTAAGTAGCTAGTATTAAATTTAAGTACTTGGTTCCTCTATGCAGAACTAGGTATCAAAATACAAGGACCCCATCAGCTACTGGCTTACTCAACCAAAAGGGAAAATATACAAATTGGCCGAAGTTATGATATTCTGAGGTATCCCTCAACTCGTTTTTAGTGTTTTCTGAAACAGAAGAAAGTTTATTTGTTAAAAAGGTTGTAAAAGTAAAACAAATGCTTAAATAAAGTTAAATAGTTTAAACCCTATATAGAATTCAATTAATTAATCTGTATTTAAGGTATTGGTTGAAAAGCCAGTGTCACAAGCGGGATTCGAACCCACGACCTTCAGCTAGATACGCCGCTGCTCTACCACTTGAGCTATCATGACCTCGATCCATGCAAACTATTTGATTCTCAGCGACAAATGAAATGGCCACGGAGAGCTTTAGTGACTATATACTTCATTTAACTTATTAAATTCACTAGTTTTCGTGGTCCGCTTGACCAAATAATATCTTACAATTAATTAATCTGTATTTAAGGTATTGGTTGAGATAAAAAAGTCAGTGTCATGAGAAGGATTCGAACGCACGATCTTCAGCTAGATACGCCGTTGCTCTACCACTTGAGCTACCGTGACTTCGATCCACTTGGACACTAACTTCCCATCTGAACCTCTCCTTTTGAATTTTCCCTCCTTTTTGCCATTTTTCAAATGTCGTGTAATCTATTGAGATGGGTTCACGAAGGTGGAAGTGTTTCATCAGCAAGAAGTGCTACAGGGTGAGGTTCAAACCATATCTGTTTTTTTTTGTTTTTTTTTTTGGGGGGGGGTGCTTTTAACCCCTTCACAACAATACCATGACGCCCAACTTAACATCATTTTAGTAAATTAATTTGCACCCCCTTCTCACCTACAATCACTTGTCACTTCCTTCAAAATCCCCCTTGTCTACTGAGCTACCACCAACCAATGTACATTGCAACCGCAGTAAGGAAGGTATAACACTAAATATATAAAATGATTTGTTACGTACAATTTTCTTTCACTTCGAAGTATTTGTAGGTCGGGTTTTCATACCCATTGATTTGCATGTTGGCGACATGACGCTCTTCAGGAGTAGCTGACTGGTCGACCTCAATGAAACCCTAAAAACAACATATTTATTAGCCTTTACAGAGCATTATAATTTTAAATACAAGAACTTAAAAAAAAGTTTTAAAACTGTGATTTTCAGTTGCAAAAACCAAATGTATTAACACAATGAAGATCTAGCAGTGACACCTCATATTGAGTCAAACAATCTTTCAAGAAATATCTTTGCTATCGCTTAAAATGATTGTGGGATATCCAAGGACAAGTTGATTGGGGTGCAGGTTTAAATCTAGTAGAAGTTTTTGTATCAAGATGTAATTATATAAATTAAAAAATGGATAGTTTGGTTTGAAATGTAGATTCATATGCTTTACAGTATTTTTGGTTGGTTTTTTTTTGGGGGGGGGGGGTCCATTAAAATGACTAGAACAAGTGGACTTTTGTAGGGTATAGGTGATGGGTCTAGATGACAGGATAGTTCACCTCATCAAAAGGCATATAATATTCTTAGGAAGAATGTAATGTTGATTGTGTACATTGTGAATAGAAAGGGCCGTAGGATAATGCCCAGGGGAACACTCGCTTTAAGGGGAATGTAGGAAAAAAAAAGCAGTCTACTTAGAGATGCAGCTGGTTTGTTAGATAGAATTTAAATATTAAATGGTTTGTAAAAGCAGCCAGGAGGCTTGATCGAACACTGGACCCACACCAAGAAAGACACAAGCAATACTGTTTCTGTCCATGAGAGGTTGCAGCTTACAACCAAAATACTTGATGTACCTGTTTTATAGTGGTGTGAAATGGGCTAAAACCAACCTGGTGGTGAGGTAACTTAGTCGTTTCAGCAATTGATATCAATTTTTTTATGAGGAGCTTTTCAAGGATTTTGTTGTAGACACTGGCAGGATGCTTGGTTCTTGGATGTTGGGTATGTTTGTTGGGTTTTTGAATCACTTTTAATTACTGAATATTTACATTATATTTGTAAATCTCTTCTTACAGAGTTGGTGATGTCCGTCAGAAAAATAAACCTTTTTTTTTAAGTCAATTTCTGCACTTTGTTAGTCATTAGGACATATACTGGGGCTAACCACAAGTAAAAGATTAAAAATGTGTTTATATTGAGCTAACTACTATTAGTTTTTATCTGACAATTCGTCAACAGTGATAGCTTACCTGATTTTGAGGCGATCTTGCACTTCTACGCCTAAGGACAGCGACTCCGATCAGAACAACCACTATTAAAACTAATCCGGCAAAAGCTAAAGTGAAATAAACACTCTTGGAGTCCCGATGGTATACTTCCCTTCTTACAGAATATGTCTGAAACAAAATTTTTTTATATTTATTATGATAAATAATAGGAATCATTAAATTTGACATACTGGCTCATTGTGGCTGATGTCGTGTGTCAATGCATGGGCATAAGGCTGCGGTTCGTGCTCTGACAATAGAGGTACAGGGCTGTTGTTGCTGTTTGGCTCAGAGCTGGCACCAACAGTTTCAGTACTATGCTCTTCATCAGTGCTTTCAGGGTCAATGTGAGCTCCCATTTTCCTAGCTTCTTCTCTTAGTTCAACTCGCTCCCTCTTGTGCGCTTCTTTCCTTTCTTTCTCAAGCACACGTTCCCTTTCCTTGTCTACAATAGCATTATTAAAATGTCAAGTCATAATTGAAATGGCTGAAATTACCTTCTTGCATGGCAGTAACATCTGCGCGATATTTGTCCAAAATAGCTGCTTCGGCATCTCTGGTCATCGACAAGAGGGAGCCTGGGGTGTCATCTTTGCTTCTGAGTGCTTGCATGTAGTCAGACATTAGCTGAGAAATCTTAGATGACAATTCAGGGAATCTAAAGATTAATAAATTTTATTAGAAAATTAAAAAAAAAAAAAATTAACAGGAATAAGTTGTACAAGCATTCACAAATTACAAAACTTACCTTTCAAGCATCTGAAGAGATTGGTTGACCATATGGTCAATGTCTACAAGGTGTTCCAAAGTCATTGATTTTTCACGTTCGGCTTGCTCAAGACTGGATGTCAACAAATGTCTGTAATGAGAGATAGTGTGATGCCTGTCCTTGTGAAGAGCTCTCAGCAATTTTTGCAAACATTTCTGCACTCGGTGGGTCTACAAAATTAAATAAAATTAACTATTGTTATTTTTTTTATTAAGAGAGATACTTGCATTGATCGGACTGTCATTGAGAGCTTGAGTATAACATGTCATAGCTTCCTTCTTCCTTTGATTAATATGTGCCATGACTCGTTGTTGATGCATTGCAACCAACTGGTGTTTTTCAGCATTTCCTTCTTCCTCTAGAGATTGTACTGTCTGCTGAAATCTGGATTTTTTTATAATTAAAATTACTTTAGTTTTTTAAACATATTAAATTGTAAAAACTATTTTTTAAACAGTTGTCTGAGTTAGAAATACCTCAGAGTCATCCTTTGTTTGAACTGTTCAGCAACTTTAGGGTCAGAAGTCCTCATATCTTGGTATCTTTCTTCAAGATCCGACCAGTCCTTCATTACCTGGTGTTAAAAATGTTATAGTTAGGTTTCATAGTAATAAATAAATTGCCAAACAATAAACCTTAGTGACTTTCTCCCGGTGAAGTTCTTCCAACCGCTGCTGTGCCTCCTTGTAAGCTTGATGCTCAGCTCTAGGGTCAAAGTTTGTAAAGTATGGATCTGGGGTTGGCACATTGGTGGTCGGCCTGGGCAGTTCCGTGGTCGTCGTAGTGGTCGAAGGGGTTGTCGATCTACTTGTGGCTGTCAGATCATCATAGCCATCATAATCATCTTCGTCTTCCTCGTCGTCGTCATCTGCATCACTGTCATCATCAGCATCAGAATCAATGTCATCAGTGTCAGTATCATCGACATTGTCAAATATCTCCGATCCTCCCATGGGCAGTGCAGGTACTGCAGGCTTTTTCAATAATGCTTTATCAGCTAGAGAACAAAAATCACAGGCTTTTATTAGAAAATTATCATGTAAGAGTTGATCATTCAATGCTCGATTTCAACAATGTGTCAAATTTTTATTCCTTACAGTTCAATAAATTTCAAAATTTGCTCATTCTGTTAAGTTTTTCAAAGGATTACATATTAGCTACTGTCGTTTCTGAGTTTTAGAAAACACAATATTTTCAAAAAGAATTTTGGTTTTACTGGCCCTATCGAACTGAAGAATAATTGTCATTTCCAGTTGACTATGAATAGGTTGATATAAGGAGATATAATTTTTCAGTAAAAGCCTGCTTATGTGTCTTGCACAATGAAAATCTCTCATACCTGCCGTCAGCAAATTTCTATCATTGTGTTTTTGTTGAAATAGTGAATTTTCATATCATCTAGTTGCTTGTTTCACAAAAAAGCCTTTTGCTAAATAGATCTAAATATGGATTTATTTATTAGCATGAGTAACAGACGTTTTCTTTTTTGTATAACAAAGTCCGTTTTTTTTGTAAAAATTTAACAAATCCTATCTTCTAGACACAGTGTTAGAAGACCCATTTGGCGGCAATCTACTCCATTGCCTTTCATCCATATTTTTCACATCTAAAAAATATTGAATCGTGGATATATAAACTAATCTTTCCCTAACACTAGCCCTAATCCTAACCCTAGCCCTACATTACTTAACCTAACCTTGATCCTCCCTAACCCTACATGATCTAACCATTCCTAACCTATCATACCTCCATGTTAATTTATTTAAACATTTATTTGTCTAATGAGCTTTGCATCGGCTAAAGTTTTTTCCTAAGTGTATTCCAATTGTAAGAACTGTAGGCATGTCAAACTCATTTTTTAGAGTGAATTTTGTTGATTTTCAAAAGTTGCATTGACAAGAAGTAAAAGTATGTACTTAATTGAAAAATTAAATTATTACTAGAAATAATGGTCATATCGCATGCCTTCTGGTTATTTTTTTATTTATTATTGTGTACACGATTGTTCGTTATTTAAAAGTATATAAATATAATTAAAACTAGATTGAAATTTTATATTTCTTGGGTTTCTCTTCAGAAACTATAGAAATATCAAACTTATTTTTTTAGAATGAGTTTTGTCGATTTTCAAAAGTTGCATTGACAATAAGTAAAACTAATTATTCAGAAATCGTGAGATGCGGTCTGGTAGGTCTGTAGGTTTCAGAAAAACATTTTTTTATCGTGCCAATATTTCGATCATTATTGAGGTCATCTTCAGGGCCTGGGATTTACAAACATTGTTTACATAAATAAGTAAAACTATGTACTTAATTAAAAAATTAAATTATTACTAGAAATAATGATGATATAGCATGGCTTCATGTTATTTTTTAATTTATTATTATGTAAATGATTGTTTATTATTTAAAAGTATATAAATATAATTATGGTAACCACACTACGTTCAAAGTCTGGCACTCTCAACATGACACGCAAGAATGGCACAATGACAAACACTTTGAGCCCTGAAGATGATCTCAATAAAGATTGAAACGTAGCACGATAAAGAAAATGTTTTTCTGAAACCTACATCACACCAGACCGCATCTCACGATTGCTGAATAATATAAGTTCAAATGTTGATATACATTTAATTTTTTTTCAAATATTTTGGTCCTGTTTTTGTGTTGTCTTTTTGTGCACAGTATTCTCATCAAAATTAACTTGAATTCATTAACCATTATGCTCAGGCTTAATTTTAAAGTTTTAATAGTGCAGTATATGAACCATGGTCCGATGCTCAACCCTTTCGTAGATATTGTATATTTTATGGTTATTAAAACTATCTGCGGTTTTAATTATAAATCTACTCGTAGCACTCGTAGTATTTTTTTTAAGAAGGTCCGCTAGTTAAAAAAATTAGATTTAACAAAAATTTCTTTGTTTAATATGCTTTCTACCGGAATACCCTTTTTTAAATTACATCGGATCAAAATGAAATTTTATCCTAAATGGGAAAAGTGTTGACGGTGTGAAAAAGTGGGAGTGGGGTTAATCTAGTAATTCAAATTTTTGTCCTAGACAAAATTTACTTCACTTAACATTTTATTGAAAAATTCACGTTGGCATTTTGTTCGTTAAAAAGAAAAAAAGTGTTTAACAGTGCTTAAATAGAAAGGAATCACCCTGTATTCAAGACAGTTTTTACCACTTCATTCCCCCTAGAATTCCTGCGCTTTAAACGAAACTAAACAAAACAAGGCGAAGCAAAAAGCAAACAAACTGTTACACCTAACACGAATAAATAAACTAAACATTTACAGACTCAGCATTTGTATTTTTACCAAAAGAGGCCAAACGAGTAGTTATGCCCTCAAAACAAATGGATCCAACCAAACGGCGGAATATTAGATTTTTTCCCCCGCGAAAATATTTACGCCGTAGTTGAATAAAAGACTATATAAATTTCCAGTTTATGTCTGTGCACTTTATTTTGATGAATGAAACAACACAAAGGCACTTTGATTATAACGAGTGTGAGGCAAAAATATTTGCGCAGTTGAATGAGCAATACAACTTTTCTAAACGTCCTCATTCAAACGAATTTACTGTGTTTCTAGTGAAATATAGACATCATATTTTTTCCATTTTAAAGTCCAGTGGTGTGAGCCGTAACAACACCGCCGGGGTTTTATGCATGTGCTTCTGTGTGACCGTTTAATTACACTTTCGAGTCGGGAAAAAAATAAATCAAAAGCAAACAGAGCTCAGAAAGGGTCCTGCTGATCCTGGCTTCATCTGCGGCAATTAAATGAATCGAGCCCTGGTTGAAAAGCTGGCTTTGAATTGTGCCGAGTGGGTACCAGAGGCGGATTTTATGTAGATGTTTGCCTCTGACATTTAACCCTGCGCCAGGGTTTTTGCAGGCCGTGTATATTTATAGAATAATCGTTCAAACACCACCGACGTCGTGGTGATGGGCTCACTACTTCTGCACTGGTGGTTCTGCGTGAAAACTGCTTACACAATTACGTTCTTCATTATACTGTCAATATTATGTTTAATCCATTTATGTTTTAGTTTGACCAAGTTAATTCTTTCAATTTATTCTTTTTATGTAAGGTTTTGATTGAGATAAAAAAGTTACGAGCGGGATTCGAACCCACGGCCTTCGGCTAAATACGCCGCTACTTGACTCATTTCTCTCGAATCCCCCTCGTGACACTGACTTTTTTATTGAATTGAATTTCTGAATTGAAATTCTGAAATTGAACCTTTTTTCGTTGAAAATTAAACATATTTAGTCTTTTTATGTAAGGTTTTGGTTGAGATAAAAAAGTCAGTGTCACGAGCGGGATTCGAGAGTAAAAAGTAGAGCAGCAGTGTATTTAGCCGAAGGTCGTGGGTTCGAATCCCGCTCGTGACACTGCCTTTTTTATCTCAACCAAAACCTTAATTAAAAAGACTAAATATGTTTAATTTTCGACGAAAACGTAGGTTCACTTTATGGAAATTCAATTTAAAGGGTGAAAAATTCAAGTATATTAGGTCAGAACATATTACAATATAATTGAAGAAAGGATTTTGAATTTGAAGATTCATCGTGATTCTGACGAGGTTGAAAGAAATGATCAAAAATTGAGGATCAAAGTCTATACGACGGATCGCTCCTGATCGTTTCAACAGTGGCCATAGTCTCAAAAGATTTATTGTTTGTCAAGATTAGAATAACACAAATACTTGATATTTTTCATAATAAATAATAAAGTGTGGTATTTAGTGACGTAACGCACAGATTAAACACTTTTCTCTCTTCTGATATCATTAAAATAGCCTTCAAAAACAATAAAACTATTCACACCCTTTTGTCCATTACAGATGCACACTAATAACAATTAAATCTAGTTAATTTACAAAATCAATTGTATAAATTATCCAGTAACTTACATCGGAATTACGTCTTTATATTTGGATAAGAGGGTAAAACAACATATCTATGATTGCGAAAAAAAGATCTTTCATTTTGGAAAAAAGAGTGTGAATAGTTTTATAGTTTTGCAAGCTATTTTAAAATTATCAGAAGAGAAAAAAGTGTTTAATTTATATGATAGGCCGTGAACGAATGGCATGGATATGTACATTGGTTCGTCTGTGTTTGATAGAATTCACATCCCTTTATAATACTCTCACATCTGTGGACATTTCACCATTATTCACCAACATTCCAATAGACACAACACAACACAATTAAAGATAAATTGCCCAACATCTATCTTTCAATCATATCAAAATCAAACATATGTAAACAAAAACCATAAATATCTCACTAACACATTCAACACAACACACAACCGTGACACATCTGCACAGAAAACACACACTGAGTGAGTACAAATACTTTGATTAAACCTAAAATTTTACATTGTGTACATCAATGTATAAATTAATTTTCACATCTTACATGTTATTTGTATAAATTCACTATTTTTCGTGGTCCGCTTGACCAATTAATATCATTCAATTAATTAAAATGTTTAGTTAAGATAAAAAAGTCAGTGTCACGAGCGGGATTCGAACTCACTACCTTCGGCTTGATACGCAGCTACTCTACCCCTTGAGCTATCGTGACTTCGATCCACTCGGGCACTAACTTCTTGAAAAATGGCAAAAAGGAGGGAAATTTCAAAAGGTGGGGTTGAGATGAGAAGCTAGTGCACGAGTGGATCGAGGTCACGATAGCTCAAGTGGTAGAGTAGCGGCGTATCAAGCCGAAGGTCGTGGGTTCGAATCCCGCTCGTGACACTGACTTTTTTATCTCAAGTAAAAACCTTAATTAATTGAATGTTATTTGTATAATTTAAACAATGTTTATTAGACCCTGAAGATAATCCCAATAAAGATCGAAACGTCGCCACGATAAATAAATTTTTCCTAAACCTACATCACACCAGACCGCATCTCACGATATCTAATTAATCATAAATAATGAAACACAAAATATAAACATGCATTTTTAGAACTGACATTTGAACATTCACTTGCATAGGACGTTTTGACCACATATCGCTTTTTGTTTCCGTACCGTCGATATTTACTTGGGAATCAAATCATCGTACATACTTTTCTTATTAGGCGAGAATCCGTTTTGTTTTAACGAAAAAGATTTTTCAAGTTACTATTTGACTTGGTTTATCGAAAACTCGATATCATGGCGAAAGCACAACTGCAGATAATCCTCGGGAAATTGACCCTAATTAAACCTATCCACGTGAACTAGACATAGATGATGTCAAACGACCGAGTTCAATTATCTTACATGTCGCCGGTAATAACACACCTGAGAGGAGAATGTACCTGTAGAGCTTATCGTCAAAGTTTAAGCAGAAAATTTGTTTTGCATTTAATTATTTAAAGATTGTCCCAATATCTTTAACGAAAACCAGACTGAAACTAAAAATGTCTTTTAGAGGTAATGAACAGTTCTGAGTGTTTGGCAAAGGTTGCCAAATTAAAAGAAACTTTGTTTTTAAATTTAATAAAATATTATACGGTTTTTGATTTTTAAACTATTGGCTTACGGTTGGTTGGTTCTTTGCTGAACTGATTCGTAGTTATTTGAAAGATCGCAAGTAGTTAAAAATAAAAATCTACTTTCCATTAATTAAGGTTTGTAGTTGAGATCAAAAAGTCAGTGTCACGAGCGGGATTCGAACCCACGATCTTCGGCTAGATACGCCGCTGCTCTACCACTTGAGCTATCGTGACCTCGATCCACACGGACACCAACTTCCCATCTCAACCCCACCTTTTGAATTTTCCCTCCTTTTCGCCCTTTTTCCATGGGTTCGAATCCCGCTCGTGACACTGACTTTTTATCTCAAGTAAAAACCTTAATTAATTGAATGTTATTTGTATAATTTAAACAATGTTTATTAGACCCTGAACGTCGCCACGATAACGTCGCCAATAAAGATCGAAACGTCGCCACGATAAATAAATTTTTCCTAAACCTACATCGCACCAGACCGCATCTCACGATATCTAATTAATCATAAATAATGAAACACAAAATATAAACATGCATTTTTAGAACTGACATTTGAACATTCACTTGCATNTTTCGCCATTTAAAAAATTGAAAGGGTGGGGTTGAGATGGGAAGTTAGTGTCCGAGTGGATCGAGGTCACGATAGCTCAAGTGGTAGAGTAGCGGCGTATCTAGCCGAAGATCGTGGGTTCGCTCGTGACACTGACTTTTTGATCTCAACCAAAAACCTTAATTAATTGAAATATATTAATTGGTCAAGCGGACCACTAAAACTAGTGAATTTAATAAAAATCTACTTAGCCTCAGACATTATTGCTCCTACCTTGGAACCTTAATATTCTTTTTGTTTGCAAATGAAATTCATTCTACTCCGGACTGCTCTTTCCTTTTATGTATTAACCCTATCAAAGCTCCTGCTAAATGCTTAGTTCGTCGAGACAGTATAAACAAGTTTCACTACGGTCCAATAGAAATAAATTATCTTTTAACCTTTTCAGGTCTTCTCTGGTGACTTTCCATAAACAGAAGCATCATATAATAGCTCTTCTATTTAAAATATTGTATGTATACGTTTTCTAATTATAAAATTGAGTATTGAGTGAAATGTAACATACCTTTCGTTGGGCAGCAGACGAACTCGACGCCAGAAAAGAGCGAGATGCCGCAAGGCAGTAGCATGGCAAATGTCCTTAGACTCATATCCCTTTCCTGGCAGGCTTGAGCGGCAGTCATGTTCCACTTTTCGAATTCCCAACATTTCGTCTGATTGTGGATGTGGTCGAAGAGGCAATTCTCAGGCACCAGGAGGGCGTCACTTTGGAAAGGGCCTTCTGCAATGGAAACGGTTTCGGTTCAAATCTTCAACCGGCCATCAGTTTGTAACAGTTGAAATCTCATTAAATACGTATCCGCGGTACTGGAATTAACCTGGGGTGGTGTAGATAGTGGCCGTAGCGATAAGTGGAAGTGTACATTTAATATTTTATCAGATTGAATGTGCGAAATGGGGAAACTTGCAGATAGTTAACGCATTTTGATAATGAAATTGAACCGATTCCGAACAAAACAAAAAACCAACAACAAAATACAGCAATAAAAAAAAAATTCGCGTATAAAATTGTAATTAACCTAATAAGAAGTAATATGAAATAATAAAAGTAGATAAAAAGAATAAATAAAAGACATAAAAAAGGTAAACAAAATATATTTCATTACGATGTTTTTCCGTTTATATAAACTGACTATGTTGTTTTACCATGAAAACATTTTCTCCAAACTTCACAAATCCTCAAGTTGTATTTTTATGTTATAAACAGCTGCGAAGTTTGAATAGGGAACGAAACTTTTAATTTTAATTAATTCTTTCCTCTGGCTTCTCACTGGCCAACTGAAGACAGAGGATTCTGTCGAATTTTCGTATGTAAAAGAAAGCAAAATGGAACAATACAAATTTACAATATAAGAGGAATTGTGGTTGATAAAGTCAGACGATAATGTATTGCAAATTTTTTCATTTGTACATTGAGTTACAAACAAGAAGCAAATGCCACTCTGTGATATTTGCACTCGTTTACAACTTCCAGTGGAGAACCTATGATAAATCAATATTCCTTTAAGCCAGGTTTCTTCTTATGAAAACAATATTCTGATTTATTTAAATTAACCAAATTTTCCAAAAGTAACGATAATTTGCTAAGTTACTACATTGTCCGAGTTACACGATGGAGGGTTTTAGATAAACCATCTAGAAAAATGGAAAATAGAAGAGGACTAGGAATACTCCCCTACTGAACTCCTAAAGTACACGTTAAACCAATACCTATTTTCACCCAATGACAGCTTTATTGCAAATAGGACATAATAGTAAGTAATTGTACCTTCACAATCAAAATCTTTAAATTTTTAAAGTTTTCTATAAAAAAATCAAACAGCTTTACCCTCATCTTCTTCTGCCTTCATCTAATAATATTGAGTAAGACACAATGATTGTTGAAACAGCTTGGGACTTACTACTAAATTCATCAAATGTAATGAACAATTCTAAAAGATGGAACAGCGAATATATTTTTGAGAAATTACCCTATAATTGGCCGGGTCATTGATTTATTTGACAATAGAAATCTTAATGGGTGAAGTGGTTCTTGCTTGATAAAAACGATCCAAGAGTTATAATAGTGATTCGTAGAAGGGTTGCGGGACAAATTTGTAAAATTCGTTAGATTTGGTGTCATTTCAAAGATCGAACATCCAACAAAATGTCAGTAAATTGAAGGTATCCTGCGTACTAAATGGTCACATAGGTATGATGACTGTTTAACTAGGTAGGTTCTATGTCAAGCTCATGAGAGAATGCGGGAGCGAGAGCAAGAGCAAGAGCGAGAGTGAGAGAGTGAGAGAGAGAGAGAGAGAGAGAGAGACAGACAGAATGAGAGAGATGGGGAGAGTGAAAAAGATTGAAAAATTGGCTTCGAGTTGAGATTTTTACGCGCTGAAAAAGAATTACCTGAAGAAACATTGCTTAAATTATTCTCGTATCTCAATTTATCTTATCATACTCCTATTTTTCTTAAGTGATGAAAACGACAATGGAACCGAAGAAAGGATTACTGTTATAATTTCCTAAGAAGATAAATTTTGTACCTCATTATAATAATGACGCAGCATCAAATGTAAATCCGGATTTTCACTTAAATAACTATTAACCTAGAGAGATATTAATTATGTATTTGTATTGATAGATGGAAAGTTCAGATCAAATTTTCTTTGTTGATTAATATTGAAAACAGTCCACTTTTATCACTCTTTGGAAACTCTATTAGAACGGATTTACCAATCGGATTATTTTATACAATAGTGCACAACTGTAATTAAATTTGCAAGTTATTCCAGGTAATAATTGAGCTTTTTCTTTAAATAATTAATTAATGAGAGATTAATCGATAGGATTTGACATCTTGACCTCAATGGGATTTATATTCCAGAAGTTGAACAGTTAGACAGGTGAAAACATTTATTCAATATTGGAAACCAAATTTGATTTAGAAGCAGAAGTAATGTTTGCATAATATTTAAATTATTTTCATAATATGATCAATAACCATCAAAGATTAATGTAAAATACGTTTATTTTGAAAATGCTTTAGGATTCAACCCTGTTTTTTCATGAAATTTTTTTCAGGTTTTCGTTTTTTTTAAATTTTTTTATGAGGGTTCGCAACAGCAGAGGTCATAGACGTATGATTTGAAGGGTGGCAGTGTTTTTGAAAAAAACAAAAACAAAAAAACATTTGTAAGTATGTCGGGTTCGAATGCAGGGCCGCTGGATTCGAACCCGGGACCTTCACCTTACAGTGATGAGCGCCGTGTCAACCGTTGCGGCCACCGACGCCCCCTTTCAGGTTTTAGTTAAAACAATTTTTAACAGATAGTGAACGATGAAGATTTGTCTCGTCACCCGTTATAATAAATTACTGGATTTGCCTTGTGGAGAGAAAAAATCCAAAATCGATGCAGGGCGATTTTTCTTCGAAGCTGAATTTATTTGAGTGCGTAGAAAACATTTCCTTTCAATCTATTTCGATACGGACAAATGCATAGAATTATTTTCTTGGAGAGCCGTGAAAGTGGTTAATGGATTTTCCTGGTGGCTGAGGAAACATCTTGCTATAAAGAATCCACTTTCTATCCCGCATCAATGATCTAGTAGTGAAGAATTTTATCTGAACTTGGTATAATAAATTACATAGATGAAGAGAAGACCGATACAATAGAATTTGTAGTGGTGACTTGTTTTGCATAATTTCTTAAACCAATACATATATAAACATAAAACAGCAAGATCTCACTGGCACTCTCAACACGACACGCAAGAATGGCACAATTACACAGAAGACACACTTTGAGTGAGTAGAAATACTTTGGTTGAATATAAAAAAAATATATTTTGCATTGTTTACATTCACTTTTTTCCACATCCTGCATGTATTTGTTAAATGTAAACAATATTTGTAAATCCCGGGCCATGAAGATGATCTCAATAAAGATCGAAACGTTGGCTCGTTTTTCTGAAACCTACATCACACCAGACCGCATCTCACGATTTCTCAATAATTAAACCAATACGTTTAGATGAGTAATAAAATAAAAGCAGAATAGCCAATTTCTCTCATCGAGTGGTTTTTAAATTGACGAACGTCAACCTTTTACCGACAGAGGAGCTCTTGTCTAAAGAAGTATTATAATTTATTAAAAGAAAAGAATAGCCAAGTTCTCTCATCGAATGGTTTTTAAATTGATAAAACCTCAACCTTTTACCGACAGAGGAGCTCTTGTCTAAAGAAGTATTACAATTCATCTTCAATAGCATGGATAAACGATGATATTCGAATATTCGCCAAGTCGAGAAAACCGAGAGTCAAAACAACGCCTTCGTGAATATCCGCGTTCCGTAAAAGGATAGCACAGACTAAGATAAAACTTTTTGTAAGATTGGTACCCCACGTGATACATCTTTCAATGTAATATCGTTTCGGCGGTTTAAGCATTCGAGTGAAAGTGAACGATCGGTTTCTAAGTGAATTCTCCCTCGGCTTCTTTTCCATTTACGTAAATAACCGAACTCCGTTTCTCGGTGTCATTTAACTCGTGGCGGAAATAAAGCGATAATCCACGTAGAATGAGCCGGCGAGTTCGAAATCAACGTCGACTAAATGCCCTGACAGGCAAAAAATTCTGTATTTAATTTGTCTCATTGATTTTACCAATAAATGTTTGTTCATGTTCATGTTTTAAATTGTGAATATCAATTAGAGGTAAACACACTTAACCCTTAATCCAAAACAAGTGTAAAGGATTTCTCAATGTTTACTTTTTACGGAATTTAAAATGTCAGTCTCATTGGAATTCTGAAGCAATAAACTGTTTAGTTTCCATCTTTGTTTTCTTAATTTCACTTTTTAAATTAAAAAATGCCACTTAGTGCTGAGGATGTTGGGCGTGTTGTGGCAGTTATTGATGATGGACGTTCCATCAAGTATGCGGCTACTGCCGTGGGAGTTCCCTAAGAATCTCTGCGAGACGCCGTTAGATGTTTTCGAGAAACTGGGTCCTACCGTAGAGAACAAAAACGCATCTGGACGCCCTAGGATAACAGAACTGCAGGATGACGTTTTTTGACTTTGAGAATTTTGTGAAACCGGCACCGTTGTTCAAGCGATTCATCAGCTCCAGGAAGTTCAAGGTGTACAAATTTCTGAACGCACTGCTCGAAGAAGATTAAATCAGTATGGACTGATGGCTTTTTGCCCAGTAAGAAGACTAGAATTGATCAGAACCCACAGAGTTCCACGGCTCGCATTTGCTCGAGAACATAGCCATTGGTCTTTGGACGATTGGTCTGCTGTACCTTTAAAGATCAATGTAGATTTGCTCTACCATCTGCAGATGGGCATGAAAGAGTGTGGAGAAGGCGAAATGAAAAGTACGAAGCCAGTACTTTTTCCCAGAGCTAACCTTTCCAACGTAGGTCAGTGATGGTGAGGGCGGGAATTTGGGAATGGAGGTCGCACAGAGCTGGCTGTTGTTCGTGGAGGGTCTTGGCAGCCACTCGCTATGTGGATGACATTTTGGAACATCATGCGTTGCGTATTCTCCATGAAATCAGCGACAATCCTATTCTATTGCACGAATAATGCCCGTCAATATGTCGCTTTCATAGTACAAATATTCTTCTACAGCCAAGGTCTTAGCCTGGCCAGCCCGTTCTCCAGACTTGAACCACATCGAACATAAACGAACCATTCCAAACTGGTAGAAACTATGCCAGGCATCTTCGAGATGTAATTAAGGCAAAAGGAAGAAATACGCAATGTTGAAATGTTAATTAAAAATTTAAAACAAAATTAAAACAAATTTTATCTATCCGTCTTATTTTTTTAAATTTTCATTTTTAAAAGAAAAGAGACTTTTTTAGACAAAGACTCAATTATTAAACGTTAAAAAATGTGAAACTTTGATTAGTATATAAAAATATATACAAATTAAGTTATAATACAAGTGGGTGGAATTTTTTTGCCTGTCAGTGTATTTTATCTGCTCAGGCTCTGATTCCATTAAAAAAGGATTGTGGCTTTGATAAATAAAATCATACCTACACAATATTCAGAGGGGTGCTTAACTGCTCGGTTTACCCTCTCCAAAAAGTTTTTAAAAAACTTTTAATTTTAGTTGTTTCTTTAATTTATAGTATAAGTCTTGGTAAAATTGTGAACAGGTATGATGAAGTCTGCGAGGTAATAAACCTGCAGTAACTCATCAGAGAAACCATATGCAGTGTGGTTGTGTCCGATAATTTTGGTTTGATTATTCTCGCTGGTTTTGTCAGTCAGACTCGTTTTGGAATTTTGCTATCTTCAATACTGGGGTTTTAGATGCCGAAACCATCTTTTTCCGAGGGACATCGGTGCCCGCAACGGTGAAGGCGTTTGTACGGCACTCATCACTAAGGTGAATATCCCGGGTTCAAAACCAGCGGCCCTGCGTTCGAACCCGACATACTTTTCCTACAAGGGTTTTTTTTTTGTTTATACAAAAACACCGGCACTCCGAGGGTTGATATGACCTCTCCTGTTGTGAATCTGAAAAAAAGGGTTCGACCGCGTATTCAGGAATATCGAGGGAGTATTCTGGGGAGTGAATGTGACGAGACTTCTATGTTTGTGTCAGATGTTATGTTAATTTATTTTAACGAATGTAATTTATTAATTTGTTGGATTCGTGAGAAGCGGTCAAGAATGAGGTACTTTAGAAAAACACGTTTTTCATTTTTTGCCAACGTTTTGACCTTTATTGGGGTTATGTGTGGTGCTATTCTTATGGTGTCATATTGGTTTTGTGTGAAATTGTTGTGTAAATGTGTGTTTTTTGTACAATTTCAAATAACACAAATATGACACCATAAGAATACACCACACGTTATGCCCTGAAGAGGACCCGAATGAAGGTCGAAACATCGGCGAAAAATAAAAAAGGTGTTTTTCTAAAATACTTCATTCTTGACCGATCCTTACGAATGCAACAAATTATTAAACAAACGATCACTAAAAAACACACGTAATTTATGAGCGTGAAAGGAAGAGGTTGTTTAGCCCCGAGGTATATCGAGTATTTTGGGTTAGTGGATGTGGCCAGACTTGTGGTGACCTGAGGTACAAAGAGGCTAGCATTTTCGGATATTGACTTCGATTTCGAATAAAAACATAGTCAGTAGCAGATTAAGTCGATCAAATGACTGCAGGCTGAAAGATAAGCGTGAAAGACCAGAAAAATAAGTAAAAATACGCAGAGGACTGGCGATGGACCTTAGCTGTTTGTCGGCCCTAAACCTTCCACACTATTATTACAGAAACATACCGTAATATACACAGAAATTTACACAAAGGAAAACAGCATTAATCTTTTTACTAGTGTAGTAAAACTATAAAGAAGATGCCTAGCAATGAGATTTATTCCATGCTCATCAAGAACTGTAATAATAGCTGTTACTCCGAAACCTGCAGGTAAAAATTACACTGAGGCAAAGACATAGTTGAAAAACAAATAAGACCCAGCTTCCTAAAAATATAATAAATTACTTCATTATCAACAGTTCGGACAAAAAGGAAAATATTGCGATCTAGAGTTATGTCAAATAACTGTAAAAATAGATCCTCTGAATAACCAAGAAATAGCGAAATATTGGACATTGAAGGAGCATGTGATAAAGGGTTTTAAGCAATGGTTACATGAGCAAGTGAGTTGGTGATAGAACAACTTCTTCGGAGCAGCTCGTCAGCTGTTGTACGTAATTTTTCGTCATCAAATTCTAAACCATCATAAGGTTATGTTAGAACTAATACCTACATTATACCACAGAAACAGTGGCTTATTGTACATTCAGCGAGTTCTCTTGCGCTCCACATTCCACTTTAACCTTTGGTCGAGAACAACTCCCAGATAGGAAGTTTTTCATACTAACAGAAGAACTGCTTAAGTAAGTTAAACTCAAAATGACTGTTGGAACAGCTGGTACTGATTACAAGTTGATTAAAATCCAGATAAACATAATGGGTACAATAAGAAAATCATTCTCATGTTTCAGGAATTTCTAACATGCAGCTCTTTAACAGTCAAAAAAACAAAATGGAATTCAAAATATTTGGCAAAATTGTAAACTTCGAAATACAATATTTAAAATCACACATACTAGTTAGATCCATCTTTTCTTAATATTCATAAATTATTCTTCCAAAATAAATTATTCCATTGGAATCTATGTCTATAATTACTAAAAAACTAAACTGCGGCTGTCATCGTATAGCTCATCGTTTATTCCTAATACAATAATGTCACTCTTGCAGATAAACAGCGATATAATAAATGGTACAGAGCTATACCATAAATCCAGGTACAAGTACAGCAACATAAATCCACTTGATCGATAGTCAATTAAACTCTGCGAATCTTGCCATTTCATACATGAACTTTAACTTGTATTCTCTTCTATTAATAATTATTCCGTTGTATATTTAATGAACGGTTGAATTCCACACGTTTAAATTTTTAAAATTTATATGTTGTAAAATTGTAATTGTTCACTTGAAAGTGTTAAAACGAGTTGGACAGTCGATCTAACAAGTTAACAATAATGACTACAGTTTTGACTGTTTTTTAAACATCATTTTATTCTCGATCGGTAATGACGGGAATCTCATTAAAAGTTGGTGCACCCTGTATTTCATGCTCTACTCAGGAGGAGAGCGAAGGGCCCGATCGATTTTCTCCAACCACTTGCCCGAGAGGCATATATACAGACTCCACTTGAAACTGCCACATTTCACCATTTCGAACACCTTTCAATCGACACCTCGATATATTTTGTTTTTACATTCTCAAAAAACAATAATATTTTTAATGAACAATTAAGAAAAAAACCTGGACCTTTTTTAACAAACAGATTTGGATAATTAAATTAAAAGCTAAAGTAAAAAGTAATTATATTATACAATCAAGCAATTATACAGGCTGATGATTACGTGCTAAAAGTTTGTCAACTTTCAATTATATTTTTAATTGTTAGTCGTGCTTTCTAATAAAGTAGAATATTGAAATATCAAACTCGTCATTCAGATGGATTTGTCACCCTGTTATTTCAGAAATTGAAAACCAATTGATCAACGATTGAAAAACCAAACTTACCGAGACATCGGAATGGCTTGACCCACGCTGCGTGCTTGCATTTTGCGTGACCGATTCGACACCAGTTTGAGATTTTGACAAAATGGCTAGATTCGACAATGTTCGTGATATCGTGTTTTGGGTAAACCTGAAAAACAAAATTAAATTAAATTAAAACAATATAGAATCGTTTGGATGAACGGTGGCCGAAAATGTATCAAATTATAATTTTTGGGAGGATTAAAATTTCAAATAGGTTTTTTAAAATTTAATATTATACTTTTTAAATTCACTACTTTTTCGTGGTCCGCTTGACCAATTAATATCATTCAATTAATTAAGGTTTTTAAAGGTTAAATTCAATTAATTAAGGTTAAGATATAATGTTGAATTATAAATTACAACAGAGAAAAGCATTAGTCAAGAGTATGTTGACGTTTTCATTCGATAAGAACTAACTTTCCATCTCACCCCACCTTTTGAATTTTCCTTCCTTTGGCAAAAAATAGTAAAAAGGAGAATTTTCAATTTTCAAAAGGTGGGGTTGAGATGGGAAGTTAGTGCCGAGTGGATCGAAGTCACGATAGCTCAAGTGTTAGAATAGCGGCGTATCTAGCCGAAGGTCGTGGGTTCGAATTCATTTCGTGACAGTGACTTTTTTATCTCAACTAAAAACCTTAATTAATTGAATTATCCTTTTTATTAATGACGTCCGTGTTAATAGGATGGATAGTGTTTCTTGTTGTTATTGAACGGAAACGTCAACATACTCTTGACTAATATATTTTCTCTGTTGTAATTTATAATTCAACATTATATCTTAATCCTGAGTAACATCAAGTATAAGCCGAAAGCTTGGTAATTGATAAATAATCTCGGCAGACTAACCTCAATCTTGATACATTATCCGTGATCATTATTTACATTAAAAATAAAACACAATTTATAAATGTCATTTTCAGAAAAAAACAAAAAAGGGCAGATGTGGCTACTCCATTGCGAATCTGCCCCACCTAAATATACGTTATATACGAGGGTTGGATGATATCCAGACCACCGAAAAAAATGGAAGTTTGCGCATGCCGCATACTGCGATGTAAAACCCCTAGATTTCTACTCTAAGCGTTAATAATATTGAATTACCTTTTTACAATATTCTAAAATGTCCATTTTCTCTTTTGGACACGTGAATTTGTGAGTTGTGTCCGTCGTCCATCGACCGGATTCAGTCATGTATTGGCTGTGATAGCTGTCATCCTTCGAGTGGCAGATCATAGCCACCTGGGGTTCAAAATGTGCCACTGGCACTTCTCCTGAACCCTGAAACAAACAAAAGAGATTTTTTATTTAAAAAAACACAAAGAAACAAAAACAATTTTTATTGGCCAATGGTTTAAACTAAAAGTCGAGCAACGCTATATTCTAAAATTCTCCTTTCACGCCATTTTTTTGAACCATGAATAACATTTTGTGTGTGTTATATACACATATCGTTCGTATTTACATTTTGACTTTTTTTACATTCAAACTGATGTTCTAAACAAATCAATAAATTGTGAGATACGTCCATCAGGACAGCGTGGTGTCGGTACGACGAAAATATATAAAAGTAAATAATAAAAAAATGTATTGTGCGTAAAAAATGTATATTTTAGGCACGTTTTGTTATGCCGTTTTATACAGTACATTAAACAAATATATCTTGTGAGATTTCTTTGTCTTGTTCATCATTGCCTGCGGAATGATGAACCACTGATTCGGTCATTACCTATCATTCTTGTCTTCTTTTCCTTTCTGAGTTCTATGTCTGATGCTTTTTTACTTTTCACCTTTCGAAATACCACAACGTGTCTCCAACCCTGCGATTATAGGCAGACTAGGATGAATCGATAACGACCGAATTACAAATATTGTATCTACTAAACAACAAAAACAGAAAATGAAATACATCGTAAAAATTATCACAATGAACGTCAGAACCAGGTTGATCGTTCTTTACTTAGTACTGTCAATTATAATTTCACTCACTTCACTGGCATATGCAGAATGTTCAGCTGCTCGTGTTACAAACTTTGCCAGTAGAACGTTCAAAACGAAACCAAAAAGTCCTAATTAACTATGGTCGGAATCTCAGCAGTTTCTGAGTTATTCCACTTTTTCTGATTTTTTAAGATTTCACGACCTTGCTTCAAATAAACAACGGTAACTCCAAAACTAAAAGGAAAACTACGTTAAATTTCCAATAAGATGTGATCAATGCTAAACTTGTAAACGTTTGTGAAATAAGCGTTTTAGTAGTCAGAACTTTGAATTTTTTTTTCAAATTTGAAAAATATATGGTGATTTTAAACTAGTATTTCCAAACCTAGAGACCAGAAAATTTCAGTAAACTTACTCCATTTAATATCCTTTTTAGTGGTGCAATTGCTTTTTAAATTACTTTTTCAAAGATGAAGAAATTGATGAAGAAAAGGAAAAAACCGTGGTTGAAGGTTGAAGGTAAGGTGAAAAGATTAATAATAATAAAAAATATAAAACTTGATGAAATGTTGAAAGAATTTATTAAGCTTTTTTTAAATTTTGATTCGAAATGCTCTCCACTCTCCCAATGTATTTTCGACACGCTGCCGTCGCATTAAACCCGCAAAACCCGTACATAAGATGTGTATCAGCGTATTCTTCATTACAAAATCTAGCCATAGTGTTAGCAAGATATACATTGATAATTAAAAGCGTGTTGAATCTTAAAACTCTTTTATTCCAGAAAATAATAAAACTTCCCCGAGAACCTGAGCTGGAAACAAGGAATCGTCCTTAAGCAATTAAGAATAGGCCATACGCGGTTGACACACGGGCACTCGTTCTTGGGCCAAAGCCCGCGCAGGCACCTTATGCGGAGAAAGGTTGCTCGATGTGTCCCACATACTGGAAACATGTCATGCCCTGGCTCTCTACAGGGAGCGGGTAGGCATGCCATCCAATCTGAAAATGGTATTCGAGCACTGCAGCGGGTTTTTGGGTCTCCTGTTCCGCTTTTTAGGGGAAATTGGGGTTTTCTATTGTATATAATATGTCTCATGTGTTGTGTGCATATATGTTTTGCCTGAGTGCATGTATTTATTAGCGTGAATGGCGAGGGGCGAGGGTGAAATATAACGTCATCATCGCCCCTCGAACGTTGAGAGCGTAAGAGTGTGTGTTCGGGCGGAATATTTATAAAAGTACTCCATCTACCCCAATCTAGATTAGTTTGAGTATAGGACGGTCGGTGGAGGAATATCAAGTACTCCACCGACCAAACGGAATGAGTGTTCTGTATGGATGTATTTATGTGTATGAATGTATTTATTTGTAGTGTTTGAAAGGGTAAATGGAATATAGAATTAATAGGGGGCTGAAATGACCTAGATGTCGGAAGCTCCAGTCAAAAAAAAAACAACAAGATAATAATAATAATAAAACAATAATCCGTTAACCAAAGTTGCAGTCGTGTTGGTAAATAAGTCAACACTTGCACTATTTCGGTTTCGAACCCAAATTTTAAAAAAGTTTAATAAATTCATTCAAAAAATTTTCTTAAGTTTATTTTTAATTTTTTACTAAACGCTTATTACAAGTTTAGTATTAATCATATCTAATTGCAAATTTAACGTAATTTTCAATGTTATCAACAGATTTGTCGAAAACCTATTCGTTTTGGAGTTATCACTGTTTATTTGAAGCTAGGTCGTAAAATGTTTAAAAAAAAAAAGTGGAGTAACTCCGAAACTGTTGAGATTCGGACCATGGTTAATTAGAATTTTTTAGTTCCATTTTGAATGTAGAATCTACTGGCAAAGTTTGTAACACGAGCAGTCGAACACCCATTATAGAAGGTAAAATTAATAACATAATTATCGCCTAGCCGTTTTCATATCCATTTTCTCGTTAAATCGATGGAAGATATATCGGGTTTTGCGAACAACCGATTAATTTCACCGCATATAATTAATACTGCATATATTGTACAACAGGTGGTTCGAAAGTGTTCGAATGTTGCTAGGCAGCTATCGATCAAGCCCGGCAGGGCTGCGCCTACAGGGGACGAAATGAATTTCTACAAGGAACTTCTTTATTTCCTCCTTTTACCGTTTAATTCGCGTTTTAGTCCCTCGGCTTGCCGGAATAATTTTTTTTTGGTCTCGACCACAACGAAACAAATTGCTGCTGTTTTTTCAAATGATTGACACACGGAAACATTCTTTAAAGAAATGCCCGTAATACTATGTTGAATATCGCTTTTATTTATCTTCTAATTATTTTTGTTTTGAGGACAATGTTTAAGGGAGGTCCTGACGCAATTACTTGGGGGGCTGTGGTCGTCGAGTATCCTTTGACACCTTTAACAGGGCTAGTCTTTGTCTCTGTCCACAAAATGCCTTGATCTTATATATACCGTAGTATTCATTTCGTAAAATTAATTTTTTTTAAAAAAACACCTTCAAATAAAAGGTTTACAAAAATAAACATAAATTTAGATTATCCCACATTTTGAAAAGAGATAATTTACGTTCTATTTCAAATGATATAGGCTGCAAATGGAAAATAAATGTCTTCAGTTCTGAGAAAAACACACAAATACAAAACTAAAATATTGTTTTGTACATTTTATTAGGTTTCGTGGTCCGCTTGACTAAATAAATTCTTTTCATTTAATTGAGATTTTGGTGGAGATAAAAAACAGCGGGATCCCGCTTGTGACACTGACTTTTTTATCTCAACCAAAACCAAATTAATTGAAAAGTTGTTTTGTACTTAATAAGTTTCGTTATTTTGAATAATGGTCGAACAAATTAAGTCAAATTCTGAATTATTTCTGTTTGTAATTTAAACCAGGAAGGATAAGTCATGGTTTTTCCTATGATTTGTTTTATTTTATGACGGTTTGCAGAATGTTTTCACTGAACGATTCCAAAGGCAAGTTCAACCTAACGACACGGCCATTAGTCGATAGCCTGAATAATCAATCATTTACAAATTTCCAATGTCAATTCCACATTACCAAATCAGGAAAAACTTTTCCCCCTTATTTTATCGAACTAGTTGGTTAACTGCCTTAATTGCCTATGATGGCCAACTGTTCAATTCCAAGACCTCTTTTTGTAATTTGTTAGGAGATTATTCAATTCCAGTTTTTACTTTTTTTGCATTTGTACTTCATTCACTTGAGTAAGTGAACGATTACTTGCACGAGATGGTAGTTTGAAAGTGCAAAATGAGAAACGAGCTTTCCATTTCTTCTTTGTGTGCCATTTATTATGCGGCCGGGGTTTGTTTCATTTTCTCTAAGATGGATTATATTCTCCAAAACCTAGGTGCTCTAATAATTCTTACAACTGGACAACCGACATCTTTCTAGGTGACTACTGCAAGTTATGCTTGTGTAGATTTGCTCTTCATGCTATTTTCCTTTTCCTAACGACCAAAAGTGGCAATTTTTACTAGATTTTGATTAACCCGATGTCACAGAACTTGAATCTTCTTCATGTGACAGGTTTCTATCGCCACGTTCAATATTTTTTGTTGGGAGGTGTTTAGTGACCGTTAGTAAATGGTTATTCGAAGATGAGATGCGCTCTGGTTTGGCGTAGGTTTTAGAAAAACATTTTCTTTATGGTGCCAACGTTTCGATATTTATTGAGATCATCTTCAGAGCTCAAAGTGTTTGTTTTCCGTGTAGATGTGTCATTCTGTCTGTCGTGTTTAGAGTGCACGTTGGCACTATAAATAAAATGTTTTTCTAAAACCTACGTCAAACCAGACCGCATCTCACGATCTCCGAATAATCATTTTTTTCTTGTGTTGTTATTTTTTTTTTTTACCAATAAAAAGACAAACGTGTATTTTACCATCCTTAATACCTACATTGGATTGAAGCAAGAGGAAAATGATGCAATATTTGTGGTCTGACAACAATTTGATTTTGTTTTCTTCCAGTCAAAAACTAAGTTACGGCTTTTGCCCTCCTGTTTCCTGGCAGGAATTACTTTTTTAATAAAATTAATTATACTTTTCAACTTAGGATTTGGTTGAGATGAAAACGCTTATGTCACGAGCGAGATTCGAACCCACGACCTTCGGCTCAATACGCCATTGCTCTAACCGCTTAAGCTATCGTGAATTCCATCCACCCGTACTTAATTAAAAAAGGGAACTAACTTAACTCCTCATCTCAACCTACAACCTTTCGAATTTACTCTCTTTTTGCTGTATTTTCAAATATCGTGCCACCAAGATTCGATTCTCGGCGAGTTATGAAATGGCCACGAGTAGCTGTTA